CTGGATGGAGGCCCTTGGGTCCAGGACCCGTTTCCCAGGGGACCCGCTTCCCCATGCCAGAATGGTTGGTAGGGCTTTACCCAGAGGGTGTTTTCGCGATCTTGTGGACCGTTTTTGTTTTGATTCCGTTGTGCGGCAAAGGCGGAACGAAGATCAGCCGCAACAAGATTTACACATGCACATTCCACTGAATTATTCCTGGGCCTCCGGGGGTGTTGCGGTGTATAAGTTCGCCACTGAGAGCCAGCGATCTTATACACCGCCGCCCTCCCTGACGTTACACACGAAGTTCCTCGGATGGTGTCTGTGTGGCGCAGAAGACAAAACGAAACCAACACGAAAACGGAAAAGGCCGTTTAGGTCGAGCCTTGCCCGCAGCAAAGGCGGAACGAAGACAACATTAGGGGAACACGAAAACGAAACGAAAACGGAAAACACCGTTTAGGTCGAGCTTTGATTCGCAGGCCTGGAGGTTGACACCAACACCAATATCGGCGGTGTGCCTCCACCGAGGGAAGAAGACCCCGATCTCGGCGATGGTGGTGATATGATGGCGTCCAAGGTGGCCGAAATATGACCACCAGCTTCCCACTGTGGAGGCCACCCGAAACCTAGGATCATCTTCCCCCTGTGGAGGCAACCCCCTGTGTTGGCGTTGGTGCCCATTTCCAGGCCTCCAATTGATTGCCGGCCCACTTGGCGACGGCGCCGACGGCGGCGCTGGGCGCCGCCGTGGCCCCCCCCTTCCCGCTTCCCTCGAAGGCAGGTCGACCGCGCCTCCCGCGGCCTCGAGGTGAGCCAGCACGGCCTCGACGAGCTGCGCGCCCAGGCAAGCCCGTCCCCACGGAGGCGGAGGAGGAGGAAGAAGAAGATGAAGCAGAAGAAGCAGAAGCATAATAATCATAAGCAGAAGCATAAGCAGAAACATAATAACAATACATTAATATATGTAATGGTAATATTATGTTTAGTAATAATAGTACTGTTAATAATAATCATAATAGTAATAATACTCATAATGCGATTGCTAAGAACAATAAACATAATACGAATAATACTATACATAAGCATAATCATAATAATCTTAACCAGAGTACGAGTAAGACAAGTAATAGCAATACTCATAAGACCATTAGTAATAGAACGAATAAGAAAAATAAGCATTATACTAATATGATGAATACTAATACGAAGGGGAGGCGGAGGAGGAGGAGGAGGAGGTGGAGGAGGAGGAGGAGGAGGAGGAGAGACTCCCCAGACCCCCGCGCGTTGTAAACAAAAACTCACGACGGTAGGCTTTTCACTATTTTCGGCCTCCGGGGGCCCTCGCCGGGCCTCGGGACTGTCGAACAACGACTCTGGATGAAAAACCGATCCCCGGGAAGGGGTGCAGGCTCCTGTAGATCACGTCATGCGACAAATTGATTTCGGGGGTCTGGGTCCGACCCTTGCCTCCCTCCCTCCCTCCCCTCCTCGTCCTCCTCCCCCTCCTGTTCCTCCTCTTCCCCTCCCTCCCTCCCTCCCCCTACCTCCTTCCCCTTCCCCTCTCTCCTCCTCCCTCCCTCCCCCCTCCTTCTCCTCCCTCCTCTTCCTCCTCCTCCTCTCCCTCCTCCTCCTCCTCCCTCCTCCCTCCTCCTCCCTTCCCTCCCTCCTCCCTCCTCCCTCCCCCTCCTCCCTCCCTTCCCTCCCTCCCTGCCTCCCTCCCTCCCTCCCTCCCCCTCCTGCTCCTCCTCTTCCCTCCCTTCGTGGCTCGAATCCGGGCGGGAGGGTGTGCCTGCGCAGCTGCACGCTGCCGTGCTGGCAAGCCTTGGCGCCTCGGCCGGCCATCCTCTGCCCGCACGCCGCCCGCGCTTCGGCCATGGTGGCACCCAGATTTCGGGGTACGGCAGGTTCGTGTCGTGTCGATCGGGGGCGGAAAAGAGGGGGTGTAACTCTACAAGAGGGAAATTCAAAAATAGGAAGAATTCGGGACGATTGTTTGATTTGTCCGGGAATATGTTTGAGTAATTTTGACTATTTCCAATTTTTCATCCAAAATCCGCCTGTAGGAGGACGTGCCCGACCTACGTATAGGTGTCGTTGCCCTGTTTCGGAAGGCTCGGAAATCCCTCGGCCTCCTGAGAAGAGCATGGGTGCACGATCGGGGGCGGAAAAGAGGGGGGTGACGACTAGGGGGGGGTGGATATCATGGCGTGGGCCATGAGATCTCCCCAGATTTCGTGGCGCCTCGTCTCATTTTATTACGTCCCTGGCCCCTCCCGCTGGGCCGCGCACATGCCGCCGGTCATGATTTGCACCCCCCCCTCTTGGACACCCCCCTCCTGGCCGCTCCCGAGTCGACCGGCGGCGACCCCGCCAGCGTTCAACGTTGAACGCCGCGGGCGGCCCGGAACCGTTCGGTGTGGAACGATTTGGACGTTTCGGAAGCGGCCGATCGTTGAAGATTGAACGATGCCCGCGGTGTCAGAAACCAACGCCGAAGTCGGCACGGCACGAACCTGACGTGGTGGGGCGCTGGGAAGGCCTTCAAACACCCTTTCGAAGGTCTTCTGGAAACTCCTTGACTCTTGACGGAGCTTCCAGAGGAGCCTCTCCAAGGGCCTCCCTTTGCATCCTTGCCCCTTCGGCCCATCTTTATCAGCCACTTTCACTGGCCAGCCTCGTTCGACCAAAACGTCAAACTTGGCCCTCCAAAAGATCCTTGCCAGGGCTGGACCTCAACGCTGTTTGCGGGACTTCGGCCGTGTCTTGCTTTCCGCTGTGGCAGGGAGGCACAGGAAAACAGGCACGTGGAGAAGAACGAAACACAGAACGTAAAATAACACGAAAAACAACATTGAGATCCAGCCCTGGCCCTTAGCCCCCCCGGGCCGAACGAAAGGGGGGGATGGGGAAAGGGGGGGGTACGAAAGCTGCTGCACGCAGCTGGTTTCGGCCCCGCCGCCGGGCCCATTCCTCGATACATGGGCGCCTCCCGGCGCTGGGAGGCGCTGGGAAAATCAGCCACGTGAGCCGATTCTCTACCCGACTCTTTGCTGTCCCCCCCTTTCGTTCCCCCCGACCCCCCACCCCCCATCCTCGTGACACGGGTCATCGGTAGGCTTGTGGATGCCACGACACTGGACACCCAACGGTCCTCTCATTGACTTCAACATGTGTTTCAAATGTCGGAAAAGTGTTCCAACCATGCTTCAAACATGTTTCTTTTTCATGTTTAAACCATTCGCCGATCCCCAGGAAAATATCGGAAAATATGGGAAGTGGGGGGGAAGACAAAAACCCATCAAATATGGGAAAGTATGCGGGATCCTGTTATCTGTGTGTATTTATTTGTGTGTCCCAGGGCCCCTTCAGTTTTTTCATGTTTAAACCATGTTTAACACATGTTTTGGACATCTGGAACGTATTTGGCAGCATGCTTCTGCACAACGGTAGGCTGACGTCCTGGCTCCAGCCGTGGCTGCCAGGGGCGGGCGGCCCGCTCTCGCCTCCCCGGCCAGCACGCCCCTCCGCCGCCGACATTCTCTCGCCCGAGCTGCGCTCGAATCAAGCAGTGGCGAAGCGTCCTGGCGGGCCTATAGGCCTACCAAAACATGTTCCAAGAACCTGTTGTGGTTTGCGCGAAGTGTTCTTAGAACATTTCTGGCGGAGTCTGTCCTGTTTGAACACATCGGGCTTATGTTCTAAGAACATTGCTTTTGTTCTTAGAACAACACTTCTGGGTTCTAAGAACACTTCGTGGTAGGACTATAGGAATGCCGGGGCGGTCGGTCCCTGCTCAATCGAAGGCGGGCGGCCCCCAGGCCTCGCCAGCACTGGGAGGCCTCAGCTCCAGGAGCAAGGGGTGCAGACGTCGGAGGGGGAAAAGGTACCCACATCTCGTTACTCGGGGGCGGAAAAAGGGGGGTCGATGACTAGGGGGGGGGATATCATGGCGAGGGCCATGATGTCTCCCCAGATATCATGGCGCCTCTTCTTATTTCATTACGTCCCTGGCCCCCCCGCTGGGCCGCGCACATGCCGCCACTCATGATTTGCACCCCCCCCCCTCTTGGACACCCCCCTCTTGTCCGCTCCCGAGTTACCCTTCCCTCGCTCTCCCTTCTTTGGGCATCCTGGGAGGCCGTCGTCGCCACCGCTGGATCCCCCTCGAAATCCTGGGCAGAACGCACCCCAGGAGAAGTCCCGGGAGCAGCGGTGTGGGTACCTTCTGATTTCCCCGAGAAGGCCAGTCCTCAGATCCAAAGTCCGCCACCCCGACGGTGCATTCCGTGCCTCCGTGGCAAGAAGTCCGTGAGCTGTCTCGGTGAAGAGAAAGGGCGGCACCACCATGAACTGCTGGCGCTCCGCGCGGATTTCTGGGATCCGCGCTGGGCCTCCCCGCCCGGCGGCGCTCAGGAGGGAAGCAACACACAGACACAATGAGTCGTCGATCCCCCGGAAAAGATGGGAATATATAGGAGGGGATCCTTGTATTTGTGTCTGTTTATTTGTGTGTCCCAGGGTCCCTTCAGGCGCCGCCGTTGGCGCGGTCCGCGCGCCAGGGAGGGGGGTGGGTTCAGCGCAGAACCAAGAAATCCTCGCAGAGCGCCACGAGGTCAGATGTTGTTTTTGGCACCTCTGCCATCACCTTTTTGCCTCGCCTCCCCAAGGATAGCGCGTGGCCCGTGAAAGGACACCGATCATCACACGCCGCCTCAACGTTGACACGGAGGCGCTCGACCACCTGCCTCCAAAGGGGGTCCTGTTGCCTCGCCTGCATCCTCGGCTCCTCGGCCTCCTGCTGCTCGCTCTGAATCTGCCGCTCCCCGCACGCTCGATCCGAGCGGTTGGCCTTCTGACCGCGGGCACGTGGCCACCCTCGGAGGTGCCCTCCACGGTGCTCGCATCCAGGATGGGCACGGCGGCCTCGAGACTCGCTTTGGCCACGTCCTCCTCCGTGTTCGCCACAGGGGGCCTTGGCCAGGCTCAGCACCTCCGTCTCCACACTTCGGTTCTGGCCCACGAGCTCCCCAAGGACCGCGCACCCTCGGGAGGTGGGGCCCGTGCCGACTCCATCGGCGTCTCCCCAGTGACCCGCCTGATAGGGGCACACCCGACGAGTCCGTCCGCCACGATCGTACCCTCGAACCCCGCCTTGGTAAGATCCTCCTCCATGTGCACGCCACGGGGGCCTTGACCAAGCTCAGCACCTCCGACTCAACCTCCTTTAGCTCGGACCCGTTCCCGTCGACCTCGACGATAACCTCGGTCACAGCTGCAGTGAACACCGTGTCGTCCACCAGCGGCGCCGCCGCCGCCGTCGTGGCGGCAATTGTCGCCTCTCCCGTGCTCGGGGCGTCTGCCTCCCCTCGGGCTCCGCCGGGTTGCTCCTTTCCCACCACGCGGAGTGCGTCCAGCAACCCGCACGCAAGCAACAGACAGACGTGCCTTCGGGGTATGCCCTTCCTCGGGCTCCCCCCGGGTTGCCCCCTCCTCCCCATCGGGGATTTCGTCCAACAACCCGCTCGCCACGGGGCGGCCCTGCCTGCTCGGCCCGGCCCTTCATCAGCCCGGTCTCGTCGACGGCTTCGCCGGCACCGCCCTCGACGCCATCCTCGGGCTCACACCTTGGCGAGCTCGGCATCGCTCGCGTGCGGCACCACGGCCTCCACCGCCAGCGCGCCCGGCAACGCCTCGAAGCCTGCGACGGGACGCAGAGGAGGGCGGCCCGCGCCCGGCGCAGACTGCGGCGCCGCCGACCACCAGCCGCCCGGGCCACCTCCCGCGGGAGCCGGCCGTGCGCTTCCAGCGCAGCGCGGCGCCCGCTCTCCCGCGGCCTCCTGCTCGCGAGGCCTCGGCCGCGCGGCGCTGCACGGTCCAGCCGTGCGCGGCCC